CAATTATGCCTGGACCCGCCCAGCTGCGTGAGTGACAGCTGGCTCTGCCTATCTAGAGGCAGAGCCAGCTGTACCCGCCCCCACCCCCGTCCGTTCCGCCAGTCAGCGCTGGAGGATCTTACAGGGGAGGGGAGAATCCAGTCACTCCGCTGTCACGGCTCTCTGCAGTGACAGGATCGAGAAGTGAGCGAGCGCCGGTATGTGTTCGCTCACTTCCCGATCTACTGAGCCGACCTGTGACAGTTTCATTGTCACAGGTTGGCTCAGATTATGAGGCTGAGTGAAAAGCACTCACCTCATAGTTCTTCTTTAAGAATTAGAAAAATCCCTTGAAACAGCTGGAATTAAACTTCCTGCAAAAATATTCCACTTCTCTTTCCTTACAAATTACTGAACTACATTCTAGCAAAACACATTCCAGCCTCATATCAAACCCAAGAAAGACACTTTCCCAACTAAAAAGTACAGGCTTATTTCCTTGCATAATGCAATTGGTATTTATCTTGAGAAGCCCAACTAAACTTGCCATGTATAGAAGCCCATCCTACATATTTTAAGGGGAACAAAACAGACCGCTGTCACTAGCATTACATGAAACATATTAATTTGACAACAAAGGTAGAGAATAAAAGGCTAGTCTGCTGACAATTTAAATAGAGCTATAGTCAAATATCCAAAGCAAATTGGTTGTGTGTTGCCTCTGTGTGTCTTTAGTTTTCCCCTAGTCCTCTGCAAAAATTACCTTTATATCCTGGCAGAACAGTAGATATTTTCTAATTTTCCACCTGGTGTAACAACACTAGCCCATTGTATAGTATACAATATTACCAATTATTTTGCACCAATATACTATATATAGTAGCTGCAAGCACTTAAAAAGAATCTGTTCAGTGATGTTTACACGCACACACACACATTTTCTTTTTTTCTCATGCCAAATAAAGCTCTATAGATGTCATAGAGAAATGTCCCCTAGCGTTCAATCCTCCAAGCGTGAATGTGCATTCCAGGTGTTCTTTACACTTCGTTTTACACTATGGATTGTGTCTGCTCTTGTTTATGGGATAACATAGACTCGGGCACTCCAAGTAATGAATCAATAGCGTCTGTTTATTGACGCATGAAACATAGCACAATGCATCAAAAAGCAACGTTTTGGGGTCTCACAGGATCCCCTTTATCAGGTAAAATGAGTCACTCATTTTGCCTGATGAAGGGGATCCTGCAGAACCCCGAAACATTGAACAGTTAAAACATTAAACAGCTATATTTCATTTTATTTGGAAAAACAAACACCTTGAATCTCTATTTCAATCATTTCACTGGCAGGGAGGACCACCATTTGTGCCCGCTTATTCTGTACCTGTAGGTTCAGCTGGACCAGGTCTGCCTCTCTTTTTGCCAGTGCAGCTTCAAGAACGTTGTTATGGTCACGCAGAGTAGCATTGGACTGTGCGAGTCCTGACAACTTTCCTCGTTCATGCTCTAGTTCTAAAGTCAGCTTCTTATTTAGGTCTTCCAGTTTTTTTATTTTTCTCTTAAAGCCACGAGACTCCTGGAGCTGCAGCAATATTTTAAACAAAACAAAACATGTATTTGAGGCCTCTAAAATAATTATTATACATATATAACTGTATCCCAAAAACGCATAGATACTTTTCCTAATAAAACAGAAACAAGGACTCATAAAAGACTAAAAATTTATCTAGTCTAAACAGTTTTTTTCCCTTTTCTTCTGTCTGTGTGCCATTGGAAAGATTTCCCTTCACTTCCTGTCTTGGAAACACAAGGAAATCCCTCTAAGGCAGTGGTTCTCAACCTGTGTAACCTCAGGACCCACATTTGTACTTGGTCATTAAGTCGCGACCCAAGTCGCACCGCATTGGAACGCACGGCATTGCGGTACCGCACGTTCCGATGCGGGCAATCAAACTGTGGACAGGAGATGCGTTTGGGGTGCCGTTCAAATGAATGGCAATGCAACACAACTCCCACACCAGAATTTGCGGTAGGTGTGATTTTTGCGTGGTACAATGCAGTAATCGCAATGGACTGTGCAATTAACGCTCTGTACTAGTGTGAACGGACCCTCAAAAATACTGTCAGACACACACAACCACAGACACAATCTCTCACACACACATACACACTTCACAATAAAATAAATTTGATTTCCTTTTTTTAAGATCCACCCAGTCTCCCTATCATATCGAGAACTGTGGTGGATCCTCAGCCTGAGGTCCAGTGGGGGCTGCAGTGCTGTGACAGAGCTCCATCCATATTGCCATGGTCTCAGGTCCCCCAAAAGAGCAGGGGACCTCAAAAACCGTGGTGGTGTAAAATGGCAATCAGTGTCCCCTGTCACAATGTCTCCTGTCAGTGCAGAAGCTGGGGAGGCATTAGCAGGGGCTTCGCTGCAAGTAGAAAACTTGCAGCACAGCCCTTCTAAAGCCCCCTCCAACAGACCCCCCCCCAGCTTCTGCACTGACGGGAGACAATATGACAGGGGACACTGGTGGGCATTGTGTGGGCTTGGAATACATAATGTTCATCAGCGTCCCCTGTCATAATGTCTCCTGTCATTGCAGAAGGGGGGGTATGTAGGGAGCATTAGCAGGGACTCTGTTGCAAGTAGAAAAAGTAGAAAAGTCAGCACTACACAGAAGAGGCGTAACTAGAAACCTAGTCTTCCCCGCAGCAATAATAATTTATTATTGCTGCGGGGAAGGGGGGCAATTATTATAGCTGCCTGGGGGAGAATTGTTTTTAGGCAGGAGTTAATTAAAAAAAAAACCCCATGCAGCAATAATATTCACCCCCTTACCCGCAGCAATAATAAATTATCCTTGGGGTAGATTAATACTGCAGCCGGGACAGAAATTACTATTAGTTATTACCGTATTTGACGGCGTATAAGACGACCCCCCACTTTTTGTGTAAAAAATATAGGTTTTGGGCTATACTCGTCATATAAGACGAGTATAGCCCAAAATAATGTTTAAATGCACCCACTAACATCCATGGCGGTATTCCCGAGTGTGGCTCGGGGTTAATTTTAAGTAACATAAGCATTAACCCTGAGCCACAATCGGGAATACAGTCTCTTACCTTGTCCACGATCCCCGCCGTGTCCTCCGTCTTCCGCTGAGTCACTCACGGCAGGCTTTACATAGTTACATAGTATTTGAGGTTGAATAAAGACATTAGTCCATCAAGTCCAACCTATTAGGATCTCATTCTAGGAGTACCCGCACCCCTGTAAGTGGAGACAAAGTTCAGCTACAACAGTTGCCAGTTTCAAGCAGGGCCTCATCTCTTTGCCAACAGGTCATCTGACATTATCAAATCAACCTTCCTGCAGAACTAAAAGTGATTACCATAACATAAATCTTAAAAAATATAAAACAATAAATCACTAAACAATACTAGAATGTAATAAAATATACAAAGTGCTATTTGCACATTCTATGTGTACTTGTCTCCTATCCACACTTTAACGCCACATGTAATTGCATTTTCATTCACGGTACATTTAGAAATATTCAAAACAAATATGAATGATTTGCCAAGTGTTTCTCAACACCCAGTGTGTACTTTATATCTTTATTGTTTAATGATACCACAACTCCGCGTAACACAGAATTTTCATTCTAATGTGCAGCAAAAACAAAGCTGTGATGCATAAGTGCATTGTTGCCCTCCGATGAAATCAAGCATATCCTAGTGGGGCTACCCCAAACTGCAGGGGTTTACTGTTATTTTTGTCTAGGTTAAAAAAAAAAAAAAATATGTTACCTTACACGAGGCGGCTTGTTCTTTGACTGGCCCTTCCAGCCTCTCTCCCCTTCCTCTGCAGTGTAAATTATTGCATTCTATACATATAGAGGCTGGAGGGAGTGCTGTGACAGCTGGCTGGCTCGGAGCGTTGGATGAGTATAACTTTGTTATCTTAGCACCTAGACACAAATGAGCACTTAACCCTTGAAGTACTGGGGTAGCCCCACTGCAAGGGTTCAGAGAAAGTTTTCCTGGAGTTCTTCTTGAACAAGTACATCAAGTGTGCTTTAAGAGGTTAATACTCAGAACACCTCCACATCTTCAATTAAGCTCAATATGGTAAACAACATCAATGGTACAAATATCACTACTTGCAACAGATTAATTCACGTGCCGGAACATGTACATGAATTTGTCACAGGCGTGTGTGGGTGGGGGAGAGGTGTGGGTGTGTGTGTCAAATGAGGCCAGAGTGTCCATCCATACTGGGGTGCACAGCCTTGCTTTCTCCAAAATGACATTAGTCTTAATCATGTCCAGTTTTCTTAACTTCAAAATGGCAGTATCTGTTAATAAATTTGTTACAGCCATAGAAAAGTGTCACAGATAAGAATTTTGAGAATTTGTCACACATGTTGGTATTAACTATGGAACTGTCCCAAACCTTTTACGAATTTGGCTGTCACAGCAGTCACATGACTGTGAGCCTGTTCCATCGGCTCCTGATCGTAAACTGTGACCAAGAGCTAGTGCGTTCTTAGCACAGAACAGCAGGCTAGCTAGACTCACAAATGCATACAGCTGGCGTTAAAGCATACCCGCCGTGCTATCACGTGTTTTACGCTGGCAGAAGGTGGTTAATATTTGTGGCCAAAATACAGACTACTTTATTTATGTGCTGGCTGCTCATAGTTAGCATTGATAAAATCAGGAGCTCAGTAGAGTTCTCTGAGTTAAGGTGCCCATACACCTTACAATTATCTGCAGATTTTCTGTGGTCAGATGGAAAAAGAGCAACAGATAGGCCCAGGTGGAGATTACTCCATCCACACAGTTAAGTGTAGATGGAGGAATCTGTTGCACCTTTTCCATCTGACCACAGAAAATCTGCAGATAAATTGTAAGGTTTATGGCCAGTTTTAAGGTGCCCATACACCTTACGAATATCGGCCGATTTTCGTATGCGATCGCGTTTTCGTCTGATATTCGTGCGGTTGATGGGTAGTGTACACCGCAAATACTGTACAATCGATCAACTTTTGACTAACAAGCAGGTTAGGAAACTTCGGTCGATCGTACGGTTTTCGCAAGGTTGGTGGCATTTCCGTACGTCAAAATGCGCAAACGAAAATACGCGTGGTCGATTACCGCAATTCGTCCCGGTGCTTTCTTCTAATTACCGCTGATCCAACCTTGCTAAAATCGGGGCAGGATGGGGCCACCGTAAGAAAATCGTACGACGGTTCGATCATCGGACGAAAAGTTGGACGCAAGGTGTATGGGCCGCCTTAGAGGGTGAATAAACGGTCACCTGTCATTAACTTTACAAAATCTAGGCCATCTTTAGGAACCCTGCAAAATAAATAAAGTTTAAGCTTAGCTCACCTCATCTTCTAGTTCTAAGACCTTCTCCCTGTATTCCTCCAGTTCCTGGCTGGTCAGCGATATAACCTCTTGCAGTTCACGCTCAAGCATGGCCTTACTGTGACTTACGGCCTGCAGTTCACTTTTTAATTCCTTTAATTTTTCCTGTAAGAGAACAATATATGTTTTATGAGGCCATAAAACAGCAGAACACATACATGTAGCAAGTATCTTTAATGTTTGGTTGTGCTGTTACAAAAGGAGTTAAAATAACTGAAAGCATTCTAGTTAATGTACAAGGGCAAAAAGATGTTTTCAAGTAGAAAATTCTGCGTCTATGCTCAGCATTGCAGGGTAATTTATGCATGTCCAAGAGGACATGCTGGGATTGAAAACGAAGTTAGAGGAATGGAAGAAACATTTGGCAGAATGTTTTATGGACGTTTACATATCTAAAATGTGTGTAATCGGAATTATTTCATTTTCATTGCATTTTTTTTTTTTTGGACACAGGATCTTTTCTGCCAGCAAGATCCTTTGTAGATATCGATATTTTATTACGCCCGTGTACATGAGAGTTTATAATAAAACTATGTACTTTTCCTAATATTCCATATGATACCTCAAATGCCTGACTATCTCCAGCCTCAGAGATTTGTGCTTTGAGCTTATTGAGCTCTGCTTCTGCAGCTTCTTTTGCTGTCAAAGCTTCCTGGAGGCGACGACTTAGGATCCCCACTGCATTCTCGTAGGCTTTGTGTTTGGCTTTCATGTCCTTCTGAGCAGTTGTCAGATCTGTGCCCAGCCTTCTCATTCTCTGCTTCTGCTCAGTAATTGCCCTTTAGGTGTAACAAGAGCAGTTTTAGAACATCTTCACAATATTTTACTCCAAATATGTAACCAACCTCTCAATATATTTTAATAATGCCTATTAAATTTCAGACACTTTTAAAAGTACAAATGTGACTTTTGGTTATTGTAGACAGTGATCAGTTAAAAAATTATGTTAACATTAAGGGGTCTAAATACAATTTAAAAAAAAGTATTGTACTTTGTCTGTATTAAAGATGAACTTACCCATATTTTTGAAATGAAAACAAATCCACCCTTGGAAATGATTAGTAAATGCAATCTACATATACTTATAGATAATTGCAGGCTTTTTATTCTTTGCATACCGTATTTTTCTTTTCCTCCCCATTCCACTCACACTGGCTATTTTAACTAAGGGCCGATATTAATATATCTCCCTTTCCTCCCTGGAACTCTGGAACATGTGACTAGGACACGTGACCATGCACATCATCTCAGGGGAGGAAAATGCCTTTCCCTGAGATCTCATGAGATTACAGATGAGATTTCCCAGCAAGGCTCTGCTGATGTAACCTTCCTACGATGCAATGTTTGGGCACATTACATTATTTGAGCCAAATAGGACCAGGAAAAGGAAAAAGAAAAAGTAAAATAAAAATATGTTTGTTTAGCGAACAAATGTAAGATGATTTCTTATTAGCATGCAGAGCTATATGCTGATGTGATTTTTAGTCAAAGGGGGTAAAGGTCCACTTTAAGCAGTAGATCTACAACCTTTTGCATGAAAAAGATCCAAGGCCATTAAGAAGCTAAGCTAAACAATGATTTATTGCACAAACCTGCAGATTTAGTTATTATGTTGTAAGGGACAGTAATATTTTATTTAACAAAGATATTTATGTATTCCAAAACTGTAGCAAACTTACGTCTTTGCTTCATTCTGTAACATTTCTATTTGTTCCCGAAGTGCAGCATTATCCTGGGTCAATGTGGTTATCTGATCTTTGTCATACTGCATGGACTACAGAATATACAGGTGGAAAAAAACACAATGAATTCCAATAACATTTTCAGCGCATGGAATCTGGGTACCCAGCTAGAGATCACAGGAAGTACAGAATCTTCAATACAACAACAAACACATTTTCAAATGCAGTTATGTTATAGTCTCTATAAGCAGAGTCTGACTATCAGTTTGTTTACGCAAGAACTGCTTGTCTCCCAATACAAGTCTATGGGAATTTAAAGCAGATCGAAGCAGGTCAAGTGCTGATAAGAATGTCAACCGCAGGTTACATGCACCTGTCAATTAATTTAAGGATTTTAGAAGCATCTTAAACTGAGATCAGATGAGATAATTATACACATCTTAAGTTCTGAGAATTCCTGCATCACAACAGACACCACAAGATGTTTGTTTTTATTATGAGAAAGAAAAGGCTCTTCCAGAGTTACAAAATTAACTACAGATCTGAGTATAGAAGAGGCTTCTCTCATTAACAATAAGATAACAGCAGACTTAGGCTGGCCATACACTGCTATAATATTTTCATTCAACCTGCAGGCAGTAAAAAAAGTAGCACAGATTTCTAAACAGCATAGATGGACAAATCTCCCGCTGGGTTATTGTATTCTGACAGCAGAGAGTGTGTTACTGTCAGAATGCCTGAACAGTGACGGTAGTCGATTGGCTGCTGTCACTGTTTGCCCGAAAGTTTCCCATTTGGCTCCTTCGATTTTCTAATTGAAGGATGCCGGATGGAAGGGTGGCAACAGGGCCACCCACTGAACGAATTTCCTCTGGTTCATCAAGAACCGGCTGAAATGTATAGCAGTGTATGACCAACTTTAGGCAGCACTTTCACCTTCATAAGTTTAAAATAGAGTAAAGGTTCGCGTTAAAAGGTATGTAAATCCTGACAATGTACTTCTTTTATTTTGTCCCTTTTGGCTAATAACTTCCTGTACACTGCTTGTGTTGCAATCTTACCACACTGTCACCGGCTATACCAGAACTACAGAACCCTTCCCATCAGCATTATGGAGAAGAGCAGAGGGAGTGCTGTCCTGTAGTCCTGTCCTTGGGTGACAATGCTGCTTCTCTCTTTTTATTTGGGTGTAGATACACTTTAAGCAGATAAAAAAAAAAAGAATAACAGATTTTGTCTAATTCAATACTCAGATTTGTAGCACTAATGCTTGCATACGTCACTATATTTCTCTATGAGTCACTGTAATTCAGTAAGCTTCCAGGATGTCAACAGGCAGCATCTTGGCTCTAACAGCATTCCAGTCCTCAGAGAAATGACACCCTATCTACTAAATATCACACATCTGAAAATAACAGTAACTGTTTTAAGACATGACTAGCTTAGAGAACTGTCTGAAATATTCACAACAAGAACATTTATTTTTAACCAAATAACTATGTAAACCATGTGGCAACCCATGTAAACCAATCAGATCCATCAACGTTCAAAAAATTAAATAGCTAAAACCAGAATATGTGTGTTGATACTTTAGGTTCAGTTGCCCAGCAATTAAGCAGAGGTAAATAAAAAGAATGAGATGGTGACACAGGCATACGGAGGAATACTTGTGTATCCTTCATGCTACAGGCATTATGAAACGGTAACCGACTTCATTTTTTGATATTTAGCCAGAAAGATATTTTAAAACAAACCTGTAAACGGATTTCCATTTCATCTCTGTCATTCTGAGCAGCCTGAAAATGTGATTCAAGTTCTTCCATTTGTTGTTGCAATTTCAACATTTCCTTCATAATCCGGGCTTGTTCGACCTCTGCTGCCGATTTCTCCCCCTGCACCTTCAGCAGCTCCTTTCTTAGTTCCTTCACCTCAGAGTCTAGCTTCTTTTTGGTGGCTTTTAGCTCACTAATTAGTTGTTCCTTAGAACTGGCATCTCGGCGGTATGCTTCTACCATCACCTAAAATTGCAGATATTAGCATGACTGAACAAAAAACAAATAATTAAAATTTTATTCCCTTACAAACCAAGAAAGGCGAATTCAAGTAGCTACATTTTTAAATTACAGAAAAAAATGATAAAACCTTTACCTAAAATATCTATGAAAACTTTGAAAAACTAAGATAATGCTGTAAACTGTTTTAGGTGTATTTGTTGCAACAACACAGAGCAGAGAACACCATGTTGTGCTTCTAAATACAATAAAACTAGGGATGTCCTGATACCATTTTTTTATTAAGACCAAGTACAGGTACAAGTACTTTCCCTCAGATACTTGCCGATACTTTTTCTAAAATGGGACATCTGAATTTATTTTCTAAAATAATACAAGCTAATGATTTTAGGGCAGTTTCTTTATAATTATGAAGAACTGTACCTCAAGCTATGATTATACAGCTACGGAGAATGGCAACCAGAAAGAGGACTACAAATTCTATCAATCCTTGATTATACAGTAATTATACAGGGCTCCGTGCAGGGCCGGCCTTAGGCCTTTAGGCGCCCTGTGCGAGAAAGCTTTACAGCGCCCCTCAGTGACCACACCCCTCCGTGGCCACACCCTTTAGCGGCCACACCCCCAGTAACCACACCCATTTCCCCCAATATCCGCACCATTTAAAGACTCCTATTTTGTTAAGCCGCAAAGAAACTTTAACTATGATAAAAATAAAACTTTTATTCAAAGGTATTAAACTTGTCGGCACAATAAGTGCCAGTCTCCCCAGGGCTCGTGCCGGCTCCGGGGCTGTACGTTCGGTGTGGGGCTGTCCTGAGCTATGCCTGTCCTGGGATGGAAGGAGGAGGGGATTGGGGCCGCACAGGCACTGTCAAAGATACATGCGCGAGGTCATCACAAGCGTGTGACCTCAGGCAGCCGTTTTTGTTGAAAAATGTAAAGGGCCGGTATCGGCCTTCAGTATCGGGGCATTTTCACAAGTGCAAGTGAAAATGCCCTGTATCGGCATCGGGACATCCCTAAATAAAACTATTACATTTTGCAAAGCGCTGCGCATACTGTTAGCTCTACATAAATCTTGTAGAATAATATAATAATAATAATAATAATGATAAATCTGGACACAGTATACAGCAAGTTTAAAAGATTAAAATAAAGAGGTATAGAGTGTTTTGGATTGTAACTTTACACAGCACTGATCAGGTTATTTACCTGTGCTCAATTTCCTTTTCATTAACATGTCTTTAAAAAGGTGTAACTTCAGCTTTGTTGGGTAAAAAAGGATTTTTGTACTCCCATAAAATCCTTTTCTAGAGCCTTTTAGGGACATAGGATGTCATATGCCATCAAGCTATACTGCCACCTACAGGAAGATTGGACACTTGCAATCAAAGTAAATTGTAGGATAGCCTCTTACTACCTACCTCTGGGAGGGACACAGGAAGTCGTATACTGTGGGGATGTCCAAAACACAGTCCAACTGTGTTGGACAACAGCAAGCAAAACTAACAAGAGAACTGGGGACTACACACGGCTGAAGTTGGCACCAGATGAGACCCTAACAACCACCTGCTAGAACTTGGAAAACATGTGAAGACCAGTGGCTGCCTTGCAAATCTGGAAAACACTAAAAACTAAATCGAAAAAACCCAAGAGGCACTCTCGGATCTGGTAGAATGTGCATGGGATACACCCTGCACAAAAATTTTAATCCAGAAATGGTAAGCCAAATGGTATCTGGAACAACATAGCAAGAGCAGAGACCTTATCCTTAATGGTGCTCAGGGTTAAATGCTGGTCCAGACCCATGGAATATTTCCTGGGGTGAAAGCCTCACACAAAGCAAAGTATATCTTCCAGGTATGGTGATAGAAGTAGACTGCCTGGATCTATCATATGAGGATCACTGGAATGTGCTCCATATTGTTCCTTTGAAGCAGATGAGGAAATGGTTTCAGGGAAGGAAAAAAAATAGACTGTATAGATCCTAGAGCATCCACTGCTTCTGCTAGAGGATACCTGTACCTGGAGACAAATCTGTCCAATTTGTTGTTAAACCTGGGAGGTCCAAATCCAGCATCCCCATCCTTGACACAGGTTCATCCTTGAGACAATTTCCAGAATGTTGATCAGGAGATGAGATTCCTCCTATGTATAAGTAACCTTCACTGACATGGCACCCAGGATCCCCAGGCAGACAGGCTGGCATCGGCCGTGAGGCTCTGTTAAAAGACAGGAAGGCAGGTATTCCCTGACTCCAGAGCCAGACTCCCGAGCTACCCAGCCCAGGACATTGCCCTCCACACCAGACAAATTGGTCTTTCCAAAAAATTTATTGACTTGTTCGACAATGTTAGAAGAGAGAATCCGGGCAAATGGGATGCCCTCGAACAAGGCTACCATCATCCCTGGGACTCTCTAGCAGAAGTGAAGAGTCAGGTGACTCCTGGACTGAAGAGTATAAATCTGGGAGCAGAGAGTTTGAAGTTTGTCCTGGGGCAGAAAAACTCTGGCTTGAGCTGTGTCTAGCACTAGACCCAGATATTTCAAACAATGAGCCAGTTTCAGCACCGACTTATGAATGTCCAGGATCCATCCAAATCTCAGCCAGGTCTGGACAGACAGGGCTACGTTGTACAGCAGAACCTGTTTCAACTGTTCCCTCAGTAGGAGTTTGTCTAGGAATAGGAATGCCCAGAGTACTGGCTAGTACTGGGGCCAGAACCTTGGTGAACACCCGAGGCGCAGAACGTAGGCCAAATGGCAGGGCCACAAAGTAAACATGCAGAGGGTCCTCAGCAAAGCGTAAAAATGATGGTGCACTGGAAAGATGGGGAAATGCAGGTACATGTCCTTGATGTCCACAGAGGCCAGAAAGTTAACCTGATGGAGGGAGACTATAAAAGAACTGGTGGTTTCCATGTGAAATTCTGAGACAGAATGAAGACATTTAGGGTTTTTAGATACAAGATGGGGTGAACGCTCCCTTTTGGTTTCGGGAACTAAACAGATTTAAGTAGATCCCCTGAAACTGTTCTGCCACAGGGACTGGGGCAATGACAACCTGGTCCAGAAGACTTGCAAATCTGTTTGGTGATACGGGAAGGTTGGAAATTATAAACTAAAGAGGGGGGTGGGAGCTGGAAACCACCTCCTGCACCCAAACATCTGAAATGCAAACAGCCTAAATGTCGGCCAAAGCTAACAAACAACCCACCCACTTTGGAAAATGGGAGTGCACCTTCATGCCAAAGATCTGTCCGAGGGCTTTGCAGCCTTGGAGTTTGAAGACTTGCAAGAGGCCTGGGAGCTTGGATTGGGCTTGGACTTCTGAGGCTGTGGAGTAACAAAAAGACTTTTCTTAACCTCCAGCGAGGGATAAGGCTTCCCAGACTAAGCCTTAGGCTCTTCTGGCTGAGGAAGATGGGTGCACATGCCACCTGTGGCAGTCTTCATGATGGCATCCAACGTAGACCAGAAGAAACATTGTTCCTTGAAGGCCTTGCAGATTGCAACTGTCTAACACTTTACCCAAAGTGTTCTCTGCATGTGAATTGACAGGAGACTCATGCAGGGATGAAGGGAAACCTCTAGCAGCTCTGCAACACTGTAGCACAGAGCTACAGTCATTTGTTTCAAATGTTCTATGACCAAGGGATCAACTGTCATAGTCAGTTGCCACTCAATGTTTGACAGATCAAGGTAACAGACAAAACAGGACACAAGCAGAACATGCCAGAGAGAAGAAGGCTCTAGAAAAGGCCTCCAATCGCTTATCAGAGGGTGGGGTCCTTGAACATGGGTGTAGCCCCCACCAGAATGTTGGGTGGTTTGTTAAGACAAGGCACTGCCAGAGCCACATGGGGGCAAACCACTTTTTAACAAAGGCCTCTAACATAGCTAATAATTTTTTGGGAGATACAAACAGTGTCAGGATGTTTCAAGTTTCCAGTCTACATAGAGGAATATCTGAATGCACCAGAAAGGTCTTGGTAGTCTTTGGGGTTCTAAAGGACCCTAGACTCGAAACAAGGCTGGTAGAACTGAAAAGGCTGATCCTCTAGCTTCAAGATGGTTTGTACCATATCAACAAGAGATGTGTGTAACAGAAGATTGAGACTCTTTAGTGGCGGGGTTACCCACCAAGGACTGGGGAGACTCAGCATCAAACCGTTTCTCAGCTGCTGTTGGCTCAAAGGCCACTGACAGATCAGATATAGAATCTGCAGGGGAAGGTGTGGGATCACACTTGTGGCCTCTGCATTCAGAGTCAAAAATCATCTGTGCTACTTGGCACTATAGTCACTGTAGGAGAGCAGCTGAAATAGACACGAGGATCCAGAGTTCCCACACGGTTCTTCCAAGTAGGAGCAGCAGTGGGGAGATGCATCTTCGACTCTGAATGGTGTGAAATCCAGCTCATACTCATGATGTAAGTGCTCAATCTCTTAGCTCCCAGTGCTCAGCCCTACTCACAAAAGTGAGACAGTACAGGCAACGCTAATGGCTCTGGACCTGGAAAGCCCTACAGGCTAACTTGTTGCCAGAATGGGGTCTAAACAGGAACCCAGTGCCCAAAGGTCGTTTAAACCCTAGCCCCACAAGGTCCACTCCAGCAGGGTCCAGGTACGACACTCCAAAGCTAGGTTGAGGAAAGGCCGATCTAAACAGCTGCCATGTGGATATCAGCTCAAGCAGCAGTATACGAAGAATCTTGATTGGAGAAAAATGCTAGCAAAAAACTTTGGTGAGACTTTTCCCAGAAGAAAAGATATTCATCCTCCTAGGGTACTAGCAAAAAACTGAGGCATGCCGATAATTAAAGATGTTACCCTGGACTGGCCTACAGTGTCCAATCCTCTTGTAGGTGGTAGTATGACCTGACAGTATGAGACTTCCTGTGTCCCTCAATGGACACAGGAAGGGTTTTATGAAACTTTGTTGAACATTTACCGTGTCCTCTCCAGACTGATTCATGAATGAGAGGGTCTGCCTTTATTAAAACCAACTGAGCAAATCTTAGTATTGTAATGAAGAAAGCTGAAGTGTCTGCATCCCTTTAGAAGTAGAGATGCCTTAGGGGAGCATTACACCAAAAACAAAATTCCTTCCTATCATATTGGCAGGAAGTGATATTTGACAGTTTCAGCATTTGCAAATTAAAGTAGAAAGGTCATTTTTGATTACATTAAATATAAAATGGCTTATGTAGTATTTTATATGCTATGTGATTTAAAAAAAAAAAAAAAAAAAATTGAGTCCTCCTTTAAATCATCAAAACCTGGTATGAATATTTGGAAACTGTTAATAATATACCCAAAATGTTGCATTACTATAGAGTAACATGCTTACTTTTTGTTGGACAAATTGCTCCTTCACTTTCTGGGTCTGTTTTTTTAGAGTTGCATTCTCTTGCTGCAGTGTCTCCACCTACAAAGCATTAGAGAATTCTGTAAATACATATAAACATAATGATTCAGCATTCTACGACAATAGTCTAGATTTCCTATATTTGTAGTTTCCTTTGTTCACTTTAAGACCCCGTTCACATGTAGCGACATACCTTTGCAGCAGCCGGGATAGCGCGACTTTCGGGGGGGCCTTTCCAGCGACGATCCATCGACGGTAGCGCGACCTTCTCCGTCGGGGCTCCATAGAAAAAAAGCAAAATCCGCCGAAAAAAGGGTCCGGTAGAAGCGACTTGCGACCGCGACGAGCGACATGGAGCTAAGACAGCTCCATTGACTATCATTAGCCGGCGACTTCCAGCGATATCGCGCGGCGAAAATCGCGCGATAAGTCGCTACATGTGAACGGGGCCTAAACCCTTTACAACTCCTCCTGAAGCCCAGCTATAAGCTACTGAAGTGTGATCTGCACTTCAGTAGCTTATTTGTAGTGTAAAGGTGACACTGGGGGTCTTTTGGACCACAAGCATCACCTTAAAGAGTATCTGTCACCACCATCTGCTAATCACATGGGGGGCTTGTAAGTCCCCCTATGTGATGGCAATTAAAGTAAAACATTTAAAAATAAAAGTTTTTAAAATGAACATTACATAAGATAAATCTAAAAATGATTTTAAAAATGTTTAAAGTCGCTCACGTCAACTCGCGTCGGGTACCCCTACGCATGAAAACGACGAAGGCGCTACACATGTTGGGTATCGCCATGCACCACGCTGGAGTTAGAGCAATAACTCTAGGGCTAGTATTTTTGGGCATCTCTAAATTGATGACCTGTGGGGGCTTTTATAGCTTCGTCTATGGACTTTTTGGAGTACTGAAGTTTGTCGCCGTTTCACGGACGCACACAAATTTTTAAACTGTGCATTTTAGGTATCTATTTACTTGTAACCTCATCTTTTATATTCAGGGTTTGATAAGGAGTTGCGCTAATATCGTGCAACATAACAATTTGCAACTGCCACCATTTTATTCTGTAGGGTCTTGGCTTTCAGAAAATATATAATGTTTGGCGGTTTTAAGTAATTTCAGGCCTAAAATATGGAATATAACATGGGTGCAAAAAATGAAAGAAAAAAAAAAAAAAAGGCCTCGGCCATGAAGGGGTTAATATCACCTTTTTGCAATTGTCTGTATGACAGAGTATGAAAAAAAAAATAACTCAGCACTAGCAGTTAGAGATTAAACAAAAGCTGGAAAAAGTTTTCCCATGTGTAGTCACCTGTCCAGATTTAATAGCAAGGTCCTGACGCAACTGTTCCAAGATTTTTGCAGCAACTTCAGTCCCTTCTTCCAAACGTTTGGTTCCATGGTCTAATCCTTCTTGTTCCATCTTGGCAGCCTGCAATGCCACTTCTAACACAATCTTCTGATTTTGTAGATACTGAATTGTGTCATCCTTAGAAGAGACATCATTCTGGAGCTCAACAAGCCTAGCCTCAAGTTCATCAAACCGCATCTGGAGGTCATTTATTGTCTGGTCTTTGGTGTAAAGGGTTTCTTGAGTTGATGTAAGCTGTTTCAATATTTCAAGATGTTCTTGCTGGAGGGCTTCGAGTTGCAGGTCTTTTTGATGCAAATTCAACTTCATCTAACACAACATCGAACAGAAAATCAAATTAATCCATGGACATCTTTCTTCACTATAATCTACCATTCTGGCCCACAAATGTAAAAGTGAACCTTTCCTAAGAGAAAAAAATGGGGCTGACAGTGCTAACACTTTCTGAAAATGCTAGCTGCTTAGCAGTTGCTTACCTACTGTCTTCAATACTGCCAGTGTCATTGACTCATAGTGTATACAGTATATCACGAAAGATAATAGTACTTACCTGCATACCTTGGGGACTCAAAGCAATGACGACTGTCAGCATGACAGCTACGTAGCATTGCAGAATGAGTCATGGCAGCCTCCACGTCTCTCTCAAGAAAGATTGCCTTGGAATCAGTCAAACAAATAGGAACCAAACCTGCTCTATTTCACGTTCTAGTGCAACAGCGGAGTCTGCTAGTTTCTGCAACTGCTCTCGCTCCTCCTCAAACTCCTCAAGTTTTCTTTGAAGGTCTTCTTCCACCATGTTCTTTGCTTCCTGTATCTGATGAAAAGCAGACTCCTGGTCCAACATGTCAGCCTGAAAATAAGGAATGAAAAAAGTAATTGCTAAAACAAAGTTCAAGTTATTGTAATGCAAATCTTTTTTAATGCACGGATATAAGATACAAATAAATTGTTTTTAGGATTTTTTTACATTTATGGATGTTAAGAACAACTATGCATGACCATAATTAAGCCTATACTTGTATACATTTTTTTAAATAAAATGTTCAAATCTGGATGTTCAATTTTAACTCCTTCATGACTGAGTTTTTTCCCCCCAGTTTCTATTGGTTAATGACTGATGCACTTAACATTTTTGCTGTATGATTCTTCCACGGCAGCAATATACTTTCTTACGAAGTGCACCCATACATATATTGTTTTTTAGAGGACAGATAGGCACACATATGTGATATAAATATATAGCCCTAACGCCTCACTTAGGACAAACAAAATGAATTGAAACATTTTTTTTTTAAAGAAAACACTTTCCTCATTTTTGAATATTATTATATTTTTTATAAAATAGGACAGTTAAAAAAATGCATTAAAATAAATTCATTTATTTGTCCTTTATTTGGAAACAGCTCACATACCTAGGATTTCAGAAGTCTTTCTGTACTTCTCAGCCTAAAACTAACATTTTAATTTTTTTCTCTGAAAGCCAATAGAGGTCACCAGGTTAGACTGGTGGCATACCATGTCACTAAATGCCACAATTAGTGACAGCGACATACTTTGAACATCACCGTCATGAGGGGGTTATGTGAAAAGAATTAACCCCTTAGGGTGAAAAACAAATGTATATAGATAGATATATCTATCGATATAATTTTTATTTTTTTTAAATGTATTTTTATTACACCATTTTTTTACTCTTTGACTAATGGCTTGCTAATTATATCAAGCAGTCATTGTGAATGGATCTCACTAGGACTGCTTGATCATTTAAATTAATTAATTTTTAGTTAGCATGTCACATTCAGATGTCACTAAAGATGCCAGAACGATCAGAAGCCTCAAACAGTTTCAGATGTTGCTAAAAATGTCTATGCTGAAACATTAAGCAAAAAGCCGGTACACATCGGGATTTCTTAATCCCGATTTGCACAGCTGACCAACAGTGATAGTAAGTGTGGTACAGACTGCACTCCTATCACTGTCAGACACACAATCACTGAAAACGATTGGGTGTCTATAAAAGCTTAAAACTTTAATTAACCAGTTGACATCCGCGGTGTTAAACCCCCTTCCCATCCAGGCCATTTTTCAGTATTCAGCGCTGCGGTACTTTAACTGACATTTATTCCGTCATGCAGCGCTGTACTGAAATGAATTTTATACCCTTTTTTGGGGACAGATAGAGCTTTCTTTTGGTGGTATTTATTCACCACTGGGGGTTTTATTTTTTTACTATATTAAGGAAAAATTACCGAAATTTAAAAAAAAAAACAGTTTCCCCTATATTAAATGATAAAACATTTATTATTACCCAATTTTTTGGTAAAATATAAAAGATGGGGTCACGTCGGGTAAAAAGACACTAAACATGTCAAGCCTTAAAATTGCGTGCGCGCGCGAAACCTCAAAAAACGATAATACCCAAAATTGGCCCTAGGCGACGCTTTAAAAGCTGTTACCGCTCATCAGTTTAGTGTTATCAGTGATTGATGGCCCTAAAATGATTGCTCTCACTGCGACGTTCGCGGCGATATGTAACATGTGTAGCGCAATTGTAATTTTTGCGCGCTGGGGCACCGGACGCGTATTTACGTTTATAGGCGCGTAAACGTGGGGGTGGGGGAGTTAAACATTTTGGGGGGGTTTTTCCCCTTTTTTTATTAGTGACTTTTATTTTATTTAACTTTTTTATGTGTTACATTTATTTTTTTTTATTTATATTTATTTTTTTGCACTTATTGTTATTGCTATTATACGGGGGGGTGCCGCGAACGAGCACATATAGGCGATCGGCGGGCGATGGACCCGCTGATCGCCTATACGTGAAACACCCGGTACCGGGTGTTCGCATTGGACGGGTCTTTCCTGCCCGTGCGTGCCCGCTAGGGGGCGCGCGCGAGCAGAAAAAAAATGCCGTCTGGCGACGGCAACCCGCCAATGCAGCAGTGCCGTCCGTCCGTTTTTCTACTACGGGCGGATGGCAAGAGGTTAATGGATGCCGCAATACTGAGGCATCCATTAATGAATGGTAACCGCTTATTTCAGTGGTTACGAGCATTACAGAGCCCCAAATAGCTGCTCACGTACAGTGTATGTGAGCAGTCATTTGGGCACTTAGTGGCGGATACGTACAGTGTACGTCTCCCGTCACTAAGGGGTTAATCATAAAAATTGGTCTGGAAGTATATAAAAGAACGAGTATATTAAAAAGAACATCATGCAAAAGACCTACTTATTCAGTCTAGCGTCTGTAAAAACCTTCTTCCAGATGCAAAAAAATGTGGCTTACTTCAATATTCTGGAGTTGTGCAGCAATGCGCTCTTTTTCCTTGATTGTCCTGTGCTGTGTCTCTGTCAGTTGATGTGAGAGTGTCACATTTTCTATTTTAAGGTGCTCTAAAACCCCAGCTTGGGTCATCTGTCCAGCCTACAGGAGAATAAAGAAGAGCAATAATCATGTTATAGTCCGCCATACAGCCATTTTATATAATGCTAAATGCACAAATGCCAAGATAAGATCTACCTGTATATTTGCCATCTCGCTCTGCAGTCGGACTCGGGCTTCTTGAGCCATTGTGAGTTGCTGTTGGTACCACTCACGTGCCTGCTGCAGAGAGGATATTTCTGCTTTTGAGGCTTTGAGCTTGTTAGTTAGTGTAGTACGGTCCAGTTGAACTTGCTGTAGCTGGTACTGTAGCGAAACAGTCTGCTGTCGCAGATTATGAACTACGTGGAACAAAAAATATGTGTGAAATTATATGCACATTTTCTGTCTTACTATCCCAAATCCCAATCACTTAATATTTAGGCAATACAAAAACTAAAGTTCCCCATATTATACGCTATTATACTATATAAAAAAACTATATAAAAAAAAACCTCAACAGTTTCTATAAGGTTGCAGTTAACCCATAAGCCCTCGTTCACACCTGAACGTTTTGTAGCGCGTTCTACGCTCGATGAACGCTCTACAAAACGCTCAAAAAAATAAATCCCATTGTATTCAATGGTCTCGTTCCCACCTTGGCGTATTTCCGCCCGTCCCTAACGCGGTACAAAACGGCCCACGCCTGAAAAGGTACAGGTACTACTTTGGGCCGTTTTGTTGCGCGTTTCCATTGGGATACAGCCAAGTAGCGACGGTCGCGCGACTTTTTACCGCGAAACGCGCGACAGACACGCATATGCAATACGCCTAGGTGTGAACGAGACCTTAAAAGGAACTGAAAATTATTGTTTGCAAATTATAAACTGTTCTTACTATCCTAAAGAGAATTTAAAAAACAACCTTTTGCATGGATGTTTAATACATCATGCAATCCAAGAGTACACAGAACTTAGACATCAAAGTTACACAAGCACACAAATAGTAATATTTGATTACATTTTATCTTTTGTACATTATAACTGTGATCAGAGCAATATTTTAAAAAAAGGGAAAGAAAAAAGGGTGAACAGATAAAGACCTATTGATAACACTAAAGAAAATGCTCTAAATAATAATACATTTTCAACAGCATTTACTGCCTGGGTCTTGTGAAGGGAATTCCTGTTAACACTCATAGCAAACATATACATATTAAGAACTCTTTTATGTCAGTAAGTTATGGTCACCTGCGTTATCCTTTTGAATAATAGCTCTCTGCAATTCTTCCACTTTGCTCATCAACCTCTGATATTGCTCTTCGGCTACCTGCAAATCATTGGTTAAAGAAGCCAGGCTGCCATTCTTCAATTCCAATGAGTTCTGAAGATCTGCCATGGCTCTCTCCAGATCTAGGCAAGACTTCTTCAGGGTGACAACCTCAGAGTTCAGTGTCTCTTGCCTTTGTTGGCTAGCCAGGCTTTGCTCAACCTCAGCTTGAAGCCTGGTGTTCACTGCTGCCAGTTTGGCCTGTAGTTCTGTCTTTTCTTTCAATGCCTGTTTAGAAAAGCATATATCACTTAACTGGCATATTTATTAATGTTGCAAACGGATCCCATCAGGATAGCAATGTTGGTGCTGTGATTATGAATTGTCTTTGAAGGTGTATGAGCCGGGGCAGTCATGTATATCTATTATTTGCTGTTTAGTAAGTCACTAACCAAGAACAAGCATTTGCATAGCAGGTTTCCTGAAACTTGATATTTAGACGCTTAGTCCAGGTCACTAACCTTAAAGTAGGGAAAGGATAGGCATGACAGCAATGGAGCATGCACCTTCAAAAACAACTCCATAATGGTAGGCCCATATTTGTAGCCTGACAAGCTCCCTGTAAGGCTTCATTAGCGCCAGCTGATAACAGATGTAAAAGAAAAAGGATCAAGACTGTGACCTCCAGGAGGAGGGGATAGTACCCATTTTCCAAATTCCACGGACAAGCACAAGTGCTCAGTTTAGGCATTCATAGGTATATACTGTAGTCTTATGCAGTGCAGAAAGAACAATAGAATGCAATACAGACATATTGTTAATAGTGACACAAACCGACAAGAGATCTTTTGGGCACAGTAATATTAGAATGTAAGTAAGCCATTTAAGACTGGGGAATTAAATAATCCAAAGAGAACAAACAGCTTTTTAAATTATAAGTATCATCTAATTTATGGTTCTGGAAAAAGATGAACCAGGTTCATCATGTCTCTGATAGAGATGAAACTCAGTGCCCCCGAGTTTGTCCAAGCCTGCTCAAAACTCCAACCGTTACCCCCTCCTCCTGACCCAATCCATGGTGGCAGTTGCCGAGAGGGGCCTGCCACTTTGTGACATATAACTGCGGGGCGGGAATGCACTTCCACACAACTGATTGGGTTGGGAGGAGGGGGTGGCAGTCAGAGTGGGTTGAGCGAACTGAGTTTGCACCAAGCCCAGCCTCATCACTAGTCTCTAAATAGCTGACTGCTGATGTTGACATCCCAGAGGATGTTTCTTTATATTACCTGGCTTGCTTCTGTAGTCAGTGACTCCAGCTGTCCTTCCAATCTCATCTTCTCCTTCAGCACCTGAAGCAGTTCATCGTGAGTCCCAGCAATGGAGCTTTCCATAGAAATACTACAAAGCATAATACAGAAATAAGATAACTGGTTAAAGGAAAGTATGCTAAATTTTCGGTGAGCATATACTGTATTTTTTTATTGTACTGTTTACCTTAAAGTAAACTTTCAAATATGTATAGGCTTTTTCTATTTCATTGTTGTTATTCTATTAAAATAAGAGATTAGCCACTAGGGGCTAGGTAGATAAACTACTACAATGATTCTGCCTAGCTGCTTAATAATTGTAAAGCAAAGATATCAGCCATAAAGAGAGTGTGTAATCAATGATTCGACTGACATATAGTTATAAGTAAAAATGCTCAACCATTTTCTAGACTGCAATGCAGGAAACAATGAATGCGTATGTAATGAGCAAATATGGATGCCCACATTTACATATATCAAAACAATCACTTAGAGTTGAAAGATTTGCCTCAGATTCTACTAGACATCAAGTCTGCTACTAAGGATATAACATTAGTGATATTAGAATGAACATTGAAAACTTTTTTTTATGGTGATTACCTGCTGGAAATGCTGTCTCTCCGGCTTCTAGGTTCACCATTCCCCTCCGATTCCTGAGCCTGCTGCTCTGCGGCAGCAGCTTGTAAGACATCTCTAAGGGAAGGATACTGCCCTACATCTTCTGGAGCTATGCTTTGGCCATTCACAATGTATTCCTCTTCTCTCCTGGGTGATGCGGCAACTAAGTAAGACCCTTGTCCAGCAGATACACTACTGTAAGTAGAGCTGTCACTTTCATTTCCATCAAGTCTTGTTCCCAGATCACTCCCATTAAGCTCAGAGTTGTTGTCAGCATTGTAAACCTCAAATCTCTGTCCTTCCATACTAATTTCTGACACCACTGAGGTCAAGCTTCCCCTGTTAGGCTTTAGGGACCCAGGGGATGAATCAGAATAACCCATGCTAGTATTGTTGGGTTCAGAAGATTCTTTACGATAGTCTGCTAAAGAACGAATTTTGCTAGAAGAGTTGGATGATTTGGAGGACTTCTTCTCTTTGGAAGACGATGGGAGGCCTAGACTGCCCAGTTTCGGTCCCCGTGGTACACTTGTACGTAAGAAGGAATACTCCTTAGTCATTGCAACAGTACTGGCTCGAGGAAGGTTATCTGGATTAAACATCAGTTCAGGATCCAAGGTGCTTGAAAGGCGACTTTTAGGAGTTGACTGATTAGACTACACGGAGAAATAATAATACAGCGTATTCATACATGTTCAAAAACACAGAATTCCGTTTTACATTCAAATAAAGAAAGGGGGAAGACGCAATTTAAGGGCTCCGTTCACATCAGTTTGTCTAGAAAGGGCAATTTGATGGTGGAGAGAGTAAAAAGGTAGCAACATTCTCTATTCGTTCTGTCTGTCCACAATGGGGAGATTTCCCTTCACTTTCTGCTCAGTGACAGTTGTTGAGATGAAAAAAAGCGAGAGGAAGTCTAAAATAGGTCAGCTGTTATAAGTTCTTAGTTTAAACATGTGATATGTTTTCTATTTTCTATTGAGAATACAATTTGGGTTTATGAGATTTGCATATCATTGCATTCTGTCCTCATGCACATTTTACATAGCATAACTTTTTTTTGGCATTGGGGTTGTATTTCTGGCAAGATCAACAGTAATTTTGTGTATTAGCTGAAAATCTTCAAGCCTGAAAAAAAAGTCAGCAAATGCAGCTAGCACATCTAGGGACTGGCTATTAAATTTTTGTTTTTGGGTTTAGATATACTTGAAACCAGTTTATAAGAATAACACCAATATTTATATTAGAAATGGGGAAAATGTATCCATATGAAATAAAGCTCTCACCCTCTCCTGGTGACGCTTAACCCTGTACTGTTTCAGTTGTTCCTCCAAGCGACGTCTGGCCTGCAAGCGGATTTGCTCCTCTTTCTCAAGCGGAAGGGGAGCATCACTAGAGGCTGAAAAGAACACATAAATCAAAAATAAGAAGTGCACAGATAGACATATATATGAAACAGTCATAAAGATGACCCCAGGTCTTTAGTAACTTATCATGCACAATAAAGGCATAACTTGCTGCATATTGCAAGCAGCAAAGCCGGAAATTAAATTAGAATAAGAGAGAAATAGATCATCTATATTGTCTGTAAACAGTATTGTGTTGCAACGCAAAAGTTTTAAACACATGTCAAATAGGCCTAATTAATAATGTACTGCAAAGTGTAATGACCATGTGCAAGGTAGCTCTCCCCACTACAACTAGATATGCAGCTGAGCAGAGAGTATGACTGGCCCTGGCCAGGACCTTGAGGGACCGATCCGAGTATGGGCCAGAATGCAGCACTTACAGAGCCTTCTCTCTCCACCAACATCCTGAACCTACATTCCAAAAGGTAAAAGGGTGGCAGAAGCATGAACTCTATATAGAAGACATAAAAACTGCCTTATTTGAAAGGAGAACTATGAGGTGAGTGATTTCCACTCATCCTCATAGTTAGACCTGACCTGTGATAAAGAAGCTGTCACAGGTCGGCTCTATTGATCGGGAAGCAAGCAGAAACATGCAGCCGATCCGCTCACTTCCCGATCGTCTACCTGCAGTGACTGTCAGTCACCGCTCCCCGCAGGGATTCCCCGCTCCCCTAGCCTCCAGTGCTGAGTGCAGGAACGAACTAGGGAGGGGGCAGGCGCAGCTAGCTCTGCCTCTAGATAGGCAGAGCCAGCTGTCACTCACGCAGCTGGGTGGATCTCAACAGTATTGTCAGAACCCGTCCCGGCTGCGGCGCTCTCAGTATATCGCGGGCAATAGCTCGCTATATACTGAGCTTTGGGTCACTGGAGGAGGTTAGTTTATGTCCATTTGTGATCCTAAAGAGAACTATGGGGAAAACACTTACCCCATAGTTCTCTTTTAAGGCTTCTAATATGTTTAGAAGCCTTTATGTTTAAGTGTTCTTCTCTATTTATCAGTCAAGTAAGTAAAACTAAATCTGACCAGTATCCAAGTGCACTTTCCACAGTCACTGCACTTTGCATGACCTTATTAAATACGTCTGTGCTACTTGACTTACTGGAAAAACAGGTTAAAAAGAGAGACTTCTGACCAGGGCGGTGTTATATTTTTAAACTAACATTTAAGACTGATGCTTATTTAAATACATATCCATTTTACTAGAATCATATAGGAGGCCTAAAGACCCACAAACAAAGATTTTTATTTTGTGACATTTGTGCCTGCTTGCTGTTGAATTTAAGTTCAGTTTATAATAGCATGTAACAGAATGTGAAAGCTGTGAAAACACCCACTCTATCCTCCAACCTTTCCTATGCCACGCACCCCCCCCCCCTTTTCTTTTTAAATTACCCTGCCTTCCTATACCCTCACCCCTTTCTCCTTTTTTATTCCCTTCTAAATCTATTCTCACTATTAGGACTACTACTTCTGGGTTTCCTCACATAAGCAGATTCACTTCGCCCATCTATCTACATTACAAATTCATACTTCCTGCCCAAACAAGCAATGCAATTAGTAGAGGGAGCCCACCAGTCAATTTTTAGAAACACAGTGAGGGAAATTTATCAAAACTGGAGCAGACAAAATTGGAAGCAGTTGCACGGGGCAACCAATCAGCATCTCTCTTCAGTTTGCTCAGTTAAGATTTGAAAAATAAAGAGAGAATCTGATTGGTTGCTATAGGCCACTGCTCAAGATTTTGTCTGCTTCAGTTTTGAGAAATTCCCCCTCTGTGATTCAGATTCATTTTAAAACCCAATGTGTTCCTAAAATGGAATACTGAGTGTAAAACTAGCTCATGGGACTATGGTAATATTCCCATAGTAAGTGAATATTGTGTAATGGCAGCAAATTTATTTTCTTATTTAGCTTCTTAAAATAAGCTTTCGTAAAAGAAAAAAAAAAGCTGTATAATGAAAAAAAGGTTAAAACCAAATCTTTCTGATTCTAAGATGTTGATCAGAGCATGGATAATGGAGCTCCCGTACATTGCACTCTGTAGCTATTAAGGTGTGAATGGCATTGTTACCTGGCAAAAAATGTCAAAACAAACAGGGCAAATGTGAGCAAAGAGAAAATGCGTGCACAGAGTTAAGATATATTATTGTGTAACAGAATCTGATTCATCATCTCAAGCATAAGAAAATGAAAGAAAAAAAGTTGAAAACATGATTTAAGTTGCTATTTATAGATCCAAACATGAAAACCATAGGAGCACTTTGCAAGAAGGAATAATGGTGCAAATCGATAGATGGGATTGCACTCCAGAAAAAGGAGGTTCTTACACAGGTCAGTTTCCTGCATATGAAGGCTTAGCTTCAGCGACTGCAAAGCTTCTTTTCTATGAACTACGCCCTCAGTATAAGGTTCACTGAAATCAGCCACACCTGGAGGGGCTGCACTTCTACAGTCCACTAGTGCCTCGGTGGATGAAGGAGAATCCGTATATTCTGAGTGAGGCCCATTCTGACAAGTGTCTCCGGAACTGTTCAGCTGTATACTGCTTTCTTCCTTTGGCAACATATTTGAATGTAAATTTCTCGCTAGAAAAAAAGTATTAAAAAAATTGTAAGCCATTGGAACCACAAAAGTTTTTACAGTAAATGCTAATGGGACGTTAAACACATTACACACAAGTTCATATGTAACCAACTGAAGAAGAAAAAGAATGAGGAGAACAAAGGAAAAAAGAAAGCTTGCTAAATGTGTCTGGTAACAGGAATCAAAATGCAAACCTGCTTTAAATCAACCTGAAAACTCAAAGATTACATTTAGTTACAGGTTAATGCTTGTTATGTGAAACACCAAGCAAGATCTCCCTGTTGGAGTTCCCAGCTTTAGCCTACTCTACCACAAGGTCTCAATCCTCTCTTTTTCTGCAATATAGCCCAACTGTACTTTTACGAAATGTGAGCAATAAACTCAGGCTGCAGGAAAACAGAAAATGTTAAGAATCTTAATGGGGTTTTTTTTTCTTTTCAAAGTCCCAGGCGAAAACTCAATAGTTTTTTGAGGCTGCAGCTAGTAATGCTCCCCGGACAGCAGTCTGACACCCCCTGCCTGGTCATGACTACAGCAGTGCAATCAGCATGGAGCATGAGTGGGCGGGGCTAACCTCTGTGCTGAAGAACCTCCATGAGAACCTGTGCACACGCAGCAGCTCAGGGCATATCCTATCAGAGTTTATTCATGTCACAGGTCTATAAACACTAGCACGTCCATCCCGGAGTTTGTCCTTAATCCCCCTCTCCTGCACACTGCTGTCTTGGGACATACACAGGGAGAAGAAGAGATAGAGACAGCAGGGTGGAGGAGAGGAGGGATGGGGTATGTGCATTGGCTGGAGACAGCAGTGTGGAAAGGGGAGGGGGATGAAGGACAAACTACGGGATGGATGTGCAAGTGTTAACTCTGATAGGATGTGCCCTGAGCTGCTACACAGGTTCTCATGAACATGCATCAGCTCCTACAAGCTGCTGTCCCTCAATGGGAGAGGAGGATCACTACAATATTGTTGGGATCGCTTCTCAGCACAGAGCCTAGCCTCGCCCACAGTATATTACATTGAATTGTAAGCTTACAGTGCATTTTTGATTAAAGTAGTACATTGCAAAATGTACTGCACCATTAGGAAGCTAAAAATTTAAATTAAAAAGGTGTACCCCATAGTTCTCCTTTAAAGTGTATCTAAACATAAAGATCAACATGTATTATATTGCAGCATACCAGTCCCTTGGTGTGGTGGCTGCATTTGTTTTCTTTTTTCAGGCCACATACAGAAAAATAACTGTTGATTGTGCCAGAAATTCAATGTGCTAAAATTTAATCTCAAACAATGTTACTTAGCAGTTGTCACTGGCTGTCTTCTGTGAGCTACCAAACACCTCCCCCTATGTTATGGAGTTGATGACAAGGGGGAGACTAAAATTGTTGTTCTTTTGTTTAGATACATTTTAAATAGTTATCTCACTTAAGGCCCCATTTACACTGAGCGTATCGCAAATCGCGCTATTGTCATTTTGCGAGATATCACGCAAATGGTTGCATTGAGCAAAGTAGAATCGCGCAAAAATCCGCTCCAAAATAGGGTCCTGTTGTAGCGACGCGCGACAGCGACGAACAGAGCCCCCATTGCCATGCTTTGGATCGATATCGCGCGATAAAACGCTCAGTGTGAATGGAGCCTTAAAGTGCCCATACACTGCACGATTCTAGTACGAGAATCGCGGGAAATCCCGCGATCGTACGAGAATCGTGCAGTGTATGGAAGGCGTGCGACCGTTTCTACTGTACGGTCGCACGTCTTCCGTCGAACCAGCAGGCTAGAAAACCCGCTGGGAATCGTACGATTCTCGGCGAGTTAGTGGCCTGCTGGTTCGACAACTGCCGAACGGGCCGGTGTGCGCACGCGCACACAGCCCGTTTGCAGTCATCTTAAGCCCACCCCTCATTGCAGTCATCATAAGTCCGCCCCTCAGGGCTTGCGATGATCAAGAGTACAATCTGCCTGTCCAAGATGGGCAGATCGTACATTTTTTTAATCACTTTACAACCATCGCAAAAGACTAAAGGTCTTGCGATGGTTGTACAGTGTATGGCCACCTTTAGACAATGTATATGTAGATATGCATTGTCTCATCAAGGCCACCAACACTTCCAGGTCATAGAAATAAAGAAATGGTTCAATGTAAACAGGTAAAATTTTAGGTCTACAAGAAAGGAAACCCCACCAACCAAATTATAACTAGCTTTTTAAGTAAGGCCCACATTGAAGGGCTTTGCACAGAGCAAACACAAATCAAACATTTCCCAGCACACTTACCAGCTAGCCTGGACACAAACACACAGAAAACAAAAATCAGGTAGATTTATACAGATGACAAAACATCTACTTCTACAAAAATCAATTAAACAATTGGCAGCAGGTTTAATTCTGGAACATTTTGTCTTTAAACTAAGCTTTTAATAGCAGCAAAAGGACACAGTATACCTTCCAGTTATCTGGAATGGACTTTTCTGACACTCAAATTACATTTGTCATGTGATTGAATGAAAAGATAGCAACCGCACAAACCCTGTTCTATGCCATCTATTGTCATAAAACCACTGAGGAAATAGACACGCAATGCAAACACATCTCTAATATAGAAGATTTTTTTTTTTAAACATGTCATAATATCTCATAAGGTAAACATGTAGACAGTTATTGCCGATTTATCCTTCTGAATATGCTGGCTGTCACACTGACCATACTTAAAGTGACACCAAAATCCGAGTTAAACCTTCAAAATGTATTCATGTACCTCAATTATTAACAAAACTGGACCTTATTTGTGTATCACTCAGCTCTAGATCCTCAACCATCTCGGAATTCATGTTGACACTGTCCTTCCTTCTGGGGGGTGGCTACTTCTGTTCCCAATGGTCCCTGTGTGTGTTGTAAAGTAGCCACCGCTCCAAGCTCACTCCCGTGATGGACTGCATTCTCATGTTTAGTTTACTAATTTATATTGAAATTGTAGTCCATTACAGGAGTGAGCTTGGAGTGGCTACTTTACAACACACACAGGGACCATGGAGAACAAAAGTAGCCACCCTCCAGAAGGAAGGACAGTGTCAGCACCAATGCAGAGATGATTTGAGGAGTGCTGAGTGATACATAAATAAAGTACAATTTTGTTAAGTTAAGGTACTTGAATCTACTTTTAGGATTTACAGGGTTATTCACAAAACGTTGGTTTGAAGGTTTGGAGAGGGTAGGAGAAGTGAACAATCTAGGAGAACATAGCTGAACAGGAAAGTGAGCTGGATTGGAGAGTTTTTAGATCAGCTATTTTGGCCTAGATTGTTCACTTGAGTACTGAGTTCTCCAAACCCTTCACCCTTTTGTGTCCATTTCATTTTTTTTCTACCTAGAATGCAGATCAGAACTTCTGACTTTCCTGACCGTTATACTTATTCTGTTTGTGTGCGACTCAGTGGACGCCAGTGGGTCAGTATATCAGCCAGGCAACTAGCATTTTCTGAAGGTCAGCATTCACGCTGTATAGGTCTTGTAATAAAAGAGAGAGAGCATTTTCCTTTAAAACATTTTACTTATGCCTGGAACCTTAGACATTTATAAGCTCACGTATAAGCTGTATGATAGTAACAAAATATTAAAGATAAAGTACATGAATGACAGATTTTCCCATTCTGGACCTTCAAAAGAGAAAGTCTGCTTCTGCTTGCGTATGTTTTAACTGTCTTAGTCAAAAAGATTCCTTTAGTGAACCACGCCTTACATTTTCTCTTTTACCATTTGACCTTTACACTGAAAGCAAAGTAAGAGAAACACCAGGATAGAACCTGTACATTTCTAGGATGGTAGAAAAATCCTGATTAAGAAATGTTTCTAGAGGAATGTAAAGAGATTGTAAAAATTGTGAATTATGGTTACAGAATATAAAAACAGAAACTCACTTGGTTTATAATTAGCAAGGGAGTTGCACAATTTGAGGTGTAATTCATTCAAGTAGATTTGTCATGGAAATACCATTGCTGACCTCTATCTGAAAATGTAAGTTTCCTGGTTTCTATATTTATTTATTACAGGCATTTATATAGTGCTGACAATTTACGCAGCACTACATAGTTGCACATTCACATCAGTCCCTACTCTCAAGGAGCTTACAATCTAAGGTCCCTATCTCACATACAATGCCAACTTAGACAGGAGCCAATTAACCTACCAGCATGTTTTTGGAGTGTGGGAGGAGAGCGGAGTACCCGGAGGAAACCCACGCAAGCACAGGGAGAACAGGCAAACTCCTTTGCAGATAGTGACCCGGCCGGGATTCGAACCAGGGACCCCGAGTGCTGCAAGGCAGAAGCGCTGCCCATATTGATGTCAATGGTTCCTGGGCAACTGAACTTAAACATGTAACCAAAACAGGAAATGTAAAACAACTGCCAGAAGTTCTTATTTGCATAGTTGTTTTGGGTCAGTGGATCAAAATGAGTGAACCGGAGAATCAGCATGACAGCCAGGAGCAGATATCAATGAGAGTCTTGAGGTATCTTTCATTGCAAGTTGTATGTACAAGCACAATACCAAAAAACATACAATACCCCAGGAACAGTACCATAAAAACATTAGACTCACAAGGCTAAATATCTCTCCAACAAATGCAGTAAAAAAGAGAAAATAGCAAACTTCTAAATTAAACTATAACCAAGTAGGAAGATAAATATAGCTGTTGGGGGTCAAAACAAAATCTGTTGTAGAATAATAAAATACAGGGAGGAATAAGGGAATGCAGTGGTTCTCAACCTGTGTAACCTCGAGACCCACATGTTTCCTTGGTCATTAAGGCGTGACCCAAAAATGATTTCATTTCATGTATTTCTTGCTAGAGACATTCCAGTGTCACCATTCCTATAGATTAGAATAGGCCCAAGCAACACAGAGGTGCCCTGGTGTGTGGCTTCCACATATTGAAGAGAAGTCACCACCAGTCCAATGAGGGTGAAATACCCAGCTCAAATGTATTCACAAAAGTGTCACACAAGTAAAAGTCCAAGGTTTTGGCACTGTGCAGGGTTCCTTCCTCAGGGAAACAGTGACAAATTGTATAAATGTAAGCCAAATTTGTTTTGAATGGACCTTACATGTCATCATGAACCTATAATAATTTATACTCAAAATGAACTTGTCTAAAAGTGGAGTGATGTGTAATTAGCCTAACAGCAGCCACCTCAAGGAACCCCAAACACAGACAAGCACTACTTGCAGAGAAGCTGAGACACCACCCACAGTTCAAGTACCTCTTTGCCTGGCCTGTCTCTGCTTCTATAAACACTTATATCAAGATGCCTATTGACTTCAATTACCTCAAACTAAATATCATTTTTTTTTTTTTTTAAATATGCAGATTCATACATTGTAAATAAAGACTTAAGCTGCCCATACACTGGAATATTTTCTTTGTTCAACCTGCAGGCTGAATGAAGAAAACAGATTCCTCCATCAACACTTACGAGCGCTGATTAAGGAATCTCCCACTGTCTTGTATTCTGATGCCGGCCGCTATCAAAATACAAAAAACAGAGCCGACAGCTGATTGGCTGCTGGCTCTGTTCGTTAGAAGATTTTTCCAACCAGCTTCTTTGATCAGCTTCATCAACAGTCGGACCAAATTTGCTTAGTTTATGGCCAGCTTTACACAAACTAGTATGCATTTACAGGTTACATAGTTACATAGTTACATAGTATTTGAGGTTGAATAAAGACATTAGTCCATCAAGTCCAACCTATTAGGATCTCATTCTAGGAGTACCCGTACCCCTGTATATTACGGTCCCTTAAGAAATCGTCCAAAAGTTTCTTGAACAATTCCACATTATTTGCTGAAATCACCGCCTGTGGCAGTGAGTTCCGGACCCTAACTGATCTTACTGTGAAGAACCCCCTTCGCCCCTTGTGCTGGAATTTTTTTTCCATCAATTTTAGGTGATGGCCTCTAGTTTTTGTAACGGAGTTAATTTTAAACAGTTTATCGCTAATGTTGCTGCCACCATTGAACATTTTGTACATGGAGATCATATCCCTCCTTAATCTCCTCACCTCCAATGTGAACATGTTTAAATTTAGTAGCCTCGTCTCGTAGCTCTGGTCCTCATACCCCTAATTAGTTTGGTTGCCCTTCGCTGGACTTTTTCCAACTCAAGGACCTCTTTTCTTAGTACTGGTGACCAGAACTGGACCGCGTACTCCAGATGAGGTCGAACCAATGATCTATAAAGTGGCAAAATTATAGACTTGTCCCTGCAATACATCCCCTTTTTAATACAGGACAAGACCCTGCTAGCTTTGTTTACAGCAGCCTGGCACTGCAAACTACCTTTCAGTTTGTGGTCTACAATGACCCCCAAATCCTTCTCCATTTCTGCCTAATGTAATGAAGGTTAAAATGTAATGAAAGCATTTTCTGCCGGCCATCCTGTATACATTGATTTGCTCCAGAACAGCATGACCTTTTAAAGGATATCCTTGAATATATCAAATCAAAACACCTCAAGACATTGTTAAAAACAAAAAAACATAACAGAAAACAATGACCTGCGATCATGCAATGCAGAACTACATTGTTGTTTATATGGAAATCTAAAGTCTAACTCTGCCCACTATAATTATGTTTAAAAAAATCCCTGCTCCCAGCAGATGGCAATGCAGGTGAAATCTGGATTGCAGGACCAGCTACAGGTGAAACTCGAATAATTAGAATATCGTGCAAAGTTCATTTATTTCACTAATGCAACTTAAAAGGTGAAACTAATATATGAGATAGACTCATTACATGCAACGCAAGATAATTCAAGCCGTGATTTATCATCATTGTGATGATTATGGCTTACAGCTCATGAAAACCCCAAGAACCCCAAATCCACAACCTCAAAAAAGTAGATTATTACATGCAATCAATAAAACAAGGATTGTACATAGAACAATATCGGACCTCTGAAAAGTACAAGCATGCATATGTGCTCAGTACTTGGTTTGGGCCCCTTTTGCAGCAATTACTGCAATTACTTTTGCACGATATTCTAATTATTCGAGTTTCACCTGTACTGGTAACACCTTGTGTCACAACTCTCATTGAGCCTGCCTTCTGAACTACAAGCCCAACATCTGAACAATGTAACATTATCATTGCTTTAGCAATGCACTGTGGGCCATGTAGTCGTGAGAAATTGAGATTACATCACATCAAGCATCATGGAAAGAGATGCAAAGCACGCTGGGAGTCTAGGAAATTGTTGAAAGTCATGGGCAGACAGAAGGCAGCACTCACTACAGGATTTCAAGTAAGCTTTGATTACATTAGAGCTGCAGCTAACGATTATTTTCAAAATCGATTAGTTAGCCGATTATTAGGTTCGATTAATCGGATAAACAATAAAATAAAGTTTAAAAAAAGGCTCCAGTGATGGGACTACTAGTTTGTATTGAATTTTCAAAAACAACGCTAGTATGCATTCCTATTCCAATGCTGATGTAATAACAGGACAGTATATGCTGGGACTTTACAATTTCTGGAGTTGTTCTGCACACAAACTGTATACAGAAAGCCCCATAAGTATGGTTTAAAAATGAGTTTTTGGGACAATGGTAAAAAATGATAGGTGCTACAGATCAAAATGGAAAGGTAATCTTCAATAACCAAATTGATTGTGTAGCAATTACATGTGTTAAATCAGTTTTAGGCTTTTAGTCAATGAAAGCAAAGTTCTTCTTTAAAGAAGAAAAACTCCAGGATTTAAAAAAATTAACCTTTGCAGTGGGGCTACCCCTGAACTGCAAGAGTTAACTGCTCAGTTGTCTAGGTGCAAAAATACTCGATTCTCGGTGCCGTCTGGCTGCTAGACCGGTCCCCGCAGCTTCTTCTCCCCTTGCTCCAGTAGTCTAAGGACCTGTGACATCATTACGTATAATACAGGTCTACTAAACATAAGGACGTCAGAGCAGAGGGGGTGGAGAGGTGAAGTGGACACTGCCACAGGACCAAGGTTCGGGTGAGTATTTTTTCTTTATTTTCCTCCCTAGAGAAAAACAAGCAGTTAACGCTTGCAGTGCAGAGGTAGCCCAATTGCAATGGTTAATTTGTCAATATCCTGGAGTTTCTTTTTAATAAATGCACCACTGCTGGGGGAACTATAGATGGTGATTATGCATGTATTTTACACTTTAATCATACCAATAAAATTGTCTGGGGAGAAATGAGGCACCATTCTGGGATTTAACCCTTGAAGGACATGGTGATATTCTGAGCTCAATATCCTGGTCATTTCCTTATTACTGTTTTTACCGTTTTATTTTCATCCAGCAAATTAATTTTTACTACACCTGCACCTTATGTATGTTTATATAAGTTTGTCAAAAACAAAGCAATACATTCCCATTTATAAAATGATTTTAACATAATTTTATCAGACAATGATTAAAAAGACAAATCCATGCAACTCACCAATATTGCTTTCACCATCAAGTGATGTGTTCAGCTTAGTGTTTGAAAAAGCAAGTCCATCCTGCTTGAGAGCAGTCCCAGAATCAATAACTGTGCCAGACTGGGTACCAAGACATTCGGACGCAGACTGCATGCTCATAGCTGCATTAACCGTATATTGGGTAATCAATTGACTATTGTTTAAAATAAATAAAGCTCAAATATTTGCTGTATTGCTGTAAGACAATGGATGAGCATGGTGGAGTGGCTTCCGAAAACAGATTGACAACACAAAAATAAATGTCAGTCCATCATATCTAAAAATGACCTGAAAGACAAAAGCATTGTATAAAAATGCATCATCGTTCCCGCTTGTGTTCTAGATAATAATAGTTTTCAAATTCACCAGTCTTGACAACGAGATAATCACAAACAAATGCATGTTTACGTTCTCACCAGGAAAAGCCATGTCATTTAAAAGTATACCAGCGCAAAAAAAATGATTAGGAGCATTTGTAGATCCGCTGAGGGACTAAACCATACAATTTCTTAGCTTCACTTACAAAAATAAGTGATTTGTGAATTGCTACATGAATTTATGTACAGCAGCTGCAGAAACATTTTCAAAAATGAAATTCACAAAAAGTCCATGTATCTGGACTAAACGTCACACATATCGCATAATCCAACAATTCGGGACCACGCAGGGTCCCTTCATCAGGCAGGGCAGAGATGTCACATTTCTCTAACGGAGTTAATTTTAAATAGTTTATCGCCAATGTTGCTACCACCATTGAACATTTTGTACATGGAGATCATATCCCCCCTTATTCTCCTCACCTCCAATGGGAACATGTTTAAATTTAGTAGCCTCGTCTCGTAGCTCTGGTCCTCCATACCCCTAATTAGTTTGGTTGCCCTCCGCTGGACTTTTTCCAACTCAAGGACATCTTTTCTTAGTACTGGTGACCAGAACTGGACCGCGTACTCCAGATGAGGTCGAACCAATGATCTATAAAGTGGCAAAATTATAGACTTGTCCCTGCAATACATCCCCTTTTTAATACAGGACAAGACCCTGCTAGCTTTGTTTACAGCAGCCTGGCACTGCAAACTACCTTTCAGTTTGTGGTCTACAATGACCCCCAAATCCTTCTCCATTTCTGACTTCCCCAGCGGCACTCCCATAATTGTATAACCCATTTGTTTATTTTTAATTCCAAAGTGCATTACTTTGCATTTATCGACATTAAACCTCATCTGCCACATTAATGCCCACTCCCCTATTTTATCCAGGTCCTCCTGTAATGTTATAGTGTCTAAGTCCGTGTCTATTACCCTCCCAATTTTGGTGTCATCCGCAAACATGGAAATATCGCTGTTAACACCCTCCCCGATGTCATTAATAATTTGTGCAACCAAATTTTCACATAATTGATCATGAGAATAGTTGTCAACTATTCTCATGATCAATTAGTTGGTTGGACGAACCTAGCCCTCTCCTTCACGCTGGTATGACACAAAAAAGTTGAAAACGAAAAGCCAAACTTGACACATTCCACGCAAAACTCCAAAAATGGACTGGACAAAATTATTGGCACCTTCTCCAAATTGCAAGAAATAATTACATTCCAAGTTTTTGTGGAAAAGCATGGACAATCTCAAGCTATACTACCAAATATTAATTGAGGGTGCCAATAATTTTGTCCAGTCCATTTTTGGAGTTTTGCGTGGAATGTGTCAGGTTTGGCTTTTTTCTCTCCACTTTTTTGTGTCATACCAATACAAACAAAAGAAATAAACATGAGGATGCCTAAATATTTGTAATTGCAACAATTTTCTGCGTGAAGTGGTGCATTATCTGACAGAAATGCAGGGGTACCAATATTTATGGCCATGACTGTGTTATGCGTATAGGAGATGTACAAATGACTGTGTTATGTGTATAGGAGATGCAGACATGTCTGTAATAATGTATATAGGATATATGGACATGTCTGTGGTAATGTGTATATAGGATATATAGACATGTCTGTGTGGTAATCATGTGTCTAAAGGAGATATAGACATGTATGTGGTAATGTGTATATAGGATATATAGACATGTCTGTGGTAATGTGTATATAAGATATATAAACATGTCTATGGTTATCATGTGTATATAGGATATATAGACATGTCTGTGGTAATCATGTGTGTATAGGATATATAGACATGTCTGTGGCAATGTGTATATAGGATATATAGACATGTCTGTGGCAATGTGTATATAGGATATATAGACATGTCTGTGTCATGTATTTGCAGGACTGACATCATGCAAAAAGACAGGACTAGAGATAGAAGACCTGTCAGGGCTCTCTCTGGCAGTCTATGTGAGGATGTGGCAGGATGGAGGATGTCGCTGTCCGGGTCTTCGCTCTGTAAGCAGCAATGAAGGGACTCTAATGGGTGGTAAGGGGGACCCATGCTCTTACCGGAGTGTGCGCAGACCCCTCTTCCCTGGCTCCTGGCACTCCGCTCCCGGCTCCAGATTGTCCCCTCTTTGGCCTCTCCCATTAGACGTGGCTCTCAGTGACCGGTCTGGTGTTTCTTAATTTTCCTTCCCCCGAAAAACAAGTCCAGGCCGGAACCATAGTTTGTGTGCGGCAGCTGCATGCAATGACAGCTCCTGTCAAATTCAGCTCTGATGTCTCCAAAGAGATTGGAGGAAGCGGCTGTTAGCAATAACGCCACTTTCCACACTGTATTATTATTCCGTGTTTCCGAATGGAAGCCAGAATGTGTTGCACCAACAACTTCCGGTGACACCTGGAAGCGAAGTAGTGTCTGAGGTTCGCTGGCAATGTAAACATTACAGGGGTTGAGGTTTTTATGGTTTTTCAGGGAGCTGTTTTCCCTACAATCAGATTCAGGAAAAGGGGGTTCACAGACCTGATTTTTCAACATATAAGCGTGTGGAAGCAAGGTGTGGTGACCGGAGGGGTAGCTTACCTATTACAGATTGTTATAGTTACTGGTACACTAAAGGGGTCTATTCATTAAAAAAAAGGTTGCAGAGCAATTCACTTCTCATCAGGAGCCCCACTTTACGTCAGAAGCCTTCCCTTCACATCAGGAGCCCCCCTTTCACATACAAGTCCTCCCTTCACATCAGGAGCCCCCTTTCACATCAGAGTCCTCCCTTCACATCAGGAGCCCCACTTTACACCAGAAGCCTCCCCTTCACATCAGAGTCCTCCCTTCACATCAGGAGCCCCCTTTCACATCAGAGTCCTCCCTTCACATCAGAGTCCTCCCTTCAGATCAGGAGCCTCTCCTTCACATCAGGAGCCCCCTTTCACATCAGAGTCATCCCTTCACATCAGAATTCCCCTTTCACATCAGATTCATCCCTTCACATCAGGAGCCTCCCCTTCACATCAGAATTCCCATTTCACATCAGAGTCCTCCCTTCACATCAGAGTCCTCCCTTCAGATCAGGAGCCTCTCCTTCACATCAGGAGCCCCCTTTCACATCAGAGTCATCCCTTCACATCAGAATTCCCCTTTCACATCAGATTCATCCCTTCACATCAGGAGCCTCCCCTTCACATCAGAATTCCCATTTCACATCAGAGTCCTCCCTTCACATCCAGAGTCCCCTTTCTCATGAGAGTCATCCCTTCACATCAGGAGCCCCACTTTACATCAGGAGCCTCCCCTTCACATCAGGAGGCCCCTTTCATATCACAGTCCTCCCTTCACATCAGGAGCCCCCTTTCACATCAGAGTCCTCCCTTCACATGAAGGAGCCCCACTTTACATCAGGAGCCTCCCCTTCACATCAAATAGCCCCCATTCACACCAGGAACCCCCATTATATCAGAAGTCTCCCCTTCATATCAGGAGCCCCACTTTACATCAGGAGCCCCCCCCCCCCTTTCACATCAAGGAGCCCTGTTTTTACATCTGAAAGGGGATGGGGTGGCCCTTTCACGTTGAAAAATCCCTTTCACATCTGGAGCCCCCTTCACATCTGAAGTCTGCCCGCACAATGGAATGGCACAACACTGCGTGAGAATTTTGAGGCACCCCAGGCCACCCTGGTTGAGAAAACCTGGGCTACACAATCCTCCAGTGTCAGAGTCTGTTTCAGAAATCACTAAGAACACCAGTTCTGGGTAATTCTCAACTTCAGTTAACCAGTCCTTCTCTTAGTCCCCATTCACACCTAGGCGTTCACGCACATTAATTCACATTTTGTTCCCACATTTGCAGTGTGTCCTTATTGGTTTCAATGGGTTTCTGCATGCGAGAGAAACATAGGAAAACTTGTGACATGCGTTCCACATTTTTTCCTTGCTTTAATGCATGCACACATGGGGGAAAAGCGTGCATTAGCCCGGCTGCGTTTGGGGTGCCATTAACTAGTAATGGCACATCAAGGACGTTTTGCATTTTTCATGCGAGTTGCGAATGCTAGGGATCGGGGTACGTATCGGAGCATTTGGATGACGAGTACTGATACCAGTATCAGTGCCGATACTGAGCATTTGGGCGAGTACTTGTACTCGCCCAAATGCTCCGATACTTACCCCGACACCAGAACTCCTGGTCAGGGTGAGATTCCCTCTGGCTGGTTATACCACGAGAGAGCATGGAGCCGGCTTCCCGGCCAATCCGAAAGCCATCTTCACACTGCCTAGCGACACTGCCTGGCTTCCTATCCAATCAGGAAGCAGGGCGGCATGTCATCACTCGCCTCCCAGCTTCCTGGTTGGCTAGGAAGCCGGCTTCATGCTGCCTAGCAACACTGCAAAGCAGCCTGGCTTCCTGTCCAACCAGGGAGCCAGGCGGCACATCATGACCCGCCTCCAGGCTTCCTGATTGGCTAGGAAGCTGGCTTCATGCTGCCTAGCGACACTGCAAGGCAGCCTGGCTTCCTGACTAATCAGGAAGCCAGGAGGCGGGTAATGATGTGCCACCCAACTTCCTGATTGATTAGGAATAGGGATGCAGAATAAGTGCAGATATAAGAATTGTCTACAGCAGTGGTCACCAACCAGTGATCCATGAACCACTGTTGATCCATGACCTGGGCCGTCATTGAACCGGCACGGAGGCTGCGGGGCTGCCCCTCACTGACATAAGCATCGCCGGTCACAAGGAATGCGCGGCTCTCAGTACAGTGGGGGCTCTGCAGGAGGCGGGGCATCTCGTCAGTACCCGCACTGAGCAGGATGCGGGACATAGAAAAAGTGGGAAGAAGCCAGGTAATAGTGGCTCAGTAGTCTACAGTGCTCCAGAAACCAGACTCAAAGTGGGAATGAAAAATGACATCTGTAGAATCAAAGTTTGAATGTGAGTCATTGCTTTGGAGCAACACAGACAAATCTTATTTTACACATTTTGGTAAACAAGACTAGAAGCTCCATGGCTTCAGTCACTAGACCACTCATAGTCAGCCAAATCCAGTGATTTAAAGCCCACTCGGGGCAAAGTAGAACCACCTCTCCCTGTCACCCCTACGTCATCAGAGCCCGGCTAATCAAGCAGCTAAAGACTCAAAAGCAAAAGAAGACTGCGTCAAATATGGAAGCGCTAACGAGGGAGGAGCACAGCGCTGGAGGGTATTGCTTTGGCAGGGAATTCTGCCGTAAGGTGCTAATATGCTGTGCATACTACCACATTATGGTTAAAAGCTCCTTAGGGTCCGTTCGTTTTCCCAGATACTTTACTTCTGCTTTAGGTCGTCTTTATATGTACCTGAGTCCACTGCTTGTATAAAAGTATTGGAGTATAATTATAACGCAGTAAATGTGATATTGACCAAACATTCCCAGGTCACATTTACTATATATAAAATTCACCAGGAAGATTCACCTGCAGTGAATGTTTGATGGATCAGATGTCACATTGTCTGCTATATAAATATTCCCAAAAGTTTATCAAAGCGCACTCACTGAGATCTCATATAGTGTGTAATATGTCAGTGTCATTTTAAAAGGCATTTTCAGTATTTTAAAATCTGCAGTTTTAGTTGAAATAATACCTGATCCAGCCATGAAGCAGGTCCTTGTTGAGGCACATCCTATTATGGGATGACAGGGATTTGTCCCTGTATTCCAATTGCTTGCCTGCATTGTAAGTCTGTCCAATGCACTTACAGTTGAGGACCAAGTGACCATATCAACACTTATTGTGCAGGCACATTCCGACACCATCACCATCAGGAAACCATCAAGAAGCCTGCCCTGCTACCGTGTGTGCATGTAGACAGGAAGCGACTGCAGAGAGGCAGCAGCAGATCAAGAGCACTGAGATGCAACAAAGGATGAAAAAGGGTGAAAACAGTATTTTCTAATTCATGTGACCCAGGGTTGCATGATTAAAGTGATCATTTGAAAGCAATAGACCTTACCAGAAAACATGCAAACAAAGCTGAAAAAATATCTAGACCTACTGTCATTTCATATGTGATACATGCCCAACCATATCACCAAAACAGAGTCCTATGTTGCTATGGACATGGTGCTCACTGCAGACAGGTTGTATCAAACAAAAATTTTTTACCCTGGCCAATAATGACTGTAATCAAAGCACGGGGAAGGAAAAGGCAGCATTAATAACTTATATTTGCAAAGTTTCTTGCTGTCAAACAACTGAAAACAGGCCCACAAAACAACTAGGAAAACCCCAACTCAGAGAGCAGCCTGTAGCATCTCACTGACAGATCTAGCAGAGTGCGCCTTCACAGGAAAAGGTAGAGCTTTACCTTTTGCAAAATAGGCATGCACAATGACATGTTGAACCCACCAATCAGAGGTGGAACAAGATGCAAGAAGCCCCCTGTGAGGTCCTTCAAGAAAGGCAAGGAGGCAATTGGATCACCTGAGGGAAGCCATAACCAAGTGCTGAATTTGGAGTGGCATGACAGTGCTGGCAAGTCCGAAACTGTCCTAGCGGAGGTGATGGTGACAAGAAACAGTACCTTGTGCGTAAGATCCATCAAATAAATATTCCTGCAAGGCTCAAAAGGAGCTTGCTGGGAAGTTGAAAGCACCTGATTGAGATCCTACAGCACCGTTAGAGAGTGTCTAGGGGGAGCCACATGTGCAATCCCCTGCACAAAAGCAAATATCAAGGAAGGAGAGGCAAGGGATCGCTGAAAAAAGGATGGCCGAAGCCAAAATTTGTCCCTTGAGAGTGCTCAGGGCTAAACACTGATCCGGTTCCGAATGGAGGAAGGCCAGAACTCATGCCACACAGTACTTCCGAGGACAAACAATCTGCTGTTTGCATCAAGCAAACTAAGCCTTCTGGGTGTGGTGGTATGCCATGCGAGAGGTTGATTTCCTGAAAAGCAAGAGTGTAGGAATGACTGGGCCAGACAGATCTCTATCCCTTTGGGCCTGGGCCTCAACAGCCAGGCCAATGACCAAGAAGCAGCATGGAGTACCGGAATCTGAGGCAGAAGGTCCAAGCAGTCCACAAATGGCTGCAGAGAGTCTACCAAAAGCCAGAAGATTGCTGCATACCACACTCTTGTGAGCCAGTTGGGAACCAAGAGGATCACCAGAATTTCCTCTGTCTTGATCCTGCAAGGAAGACAAGGAAGGGAGGAAAAGTGTAATTAGAGAGAACTGATTCAAGTTCAGAGGGATAGCACACCAGCACTACCTTCAACAATTAATTTCGTCCATGCTTCCTTCAGATG